GGGAAAGGTATTCTTTTTCATTGATTTATAAGTTGCCGCATTTTACTTGAGGGCTGGCACTGAGTGTGTATAGCCCACCCCAGTGCCACCCCATCATCGTCTCCCATCACCCTAAGCATGCAGCAGCACTGGCAATCCTTTAAAACTGAAATAAAGGCAAGTACCTGGAGCCATTTCTGCCCGGTGAGTTGCTCAGGTGTTGCTTGACAGTGAATGTTTCCTCCTTTCATCTATCTGGGCTGGTGAAGGTGCCGGTTGAGCCACCCCTTATATAGGAGGGAGTCTGTTTAAAATGTATATGTGTGTTCATGATCGCAACAACATCTCTCTGTCTTCTCTGTGCATAAATGCACAAGTGTTCGCAATGGTGCTACCTAATTGTAGTCATTTATACATAGATGTAAAGGTTGGGGAGGTTGTTTGCCTAGGGATGAAATCAGTGCTGAATGATTTCGCCATATTTTGCTGTTTATTGCAAGTAAAGGTTTTATCATCGTTGGAAGACCCATCCCCAATCAGATCAGTGCTTTTACGCAGTGGAATTTGCTGCAGGGGGTTGAAAATCCACCTGATTGATTGTCCTGCCTGCCTCTGCAGCCTTGGCCCGCAGTTAACGGGGCTCACCGACCAGTTTGGGAGACTTCTGACCTAAAGCAAGTGGGCTCTTTTCCCATTTATTGTTAGCGGGGATGGAGCTGGATGGATGCTGTCGGATGAATCCTATTTCTTCCACTTAGTTTCTTCCATGCTACCAAAATTTTGGAAGTTCAGTAAATAGTTTTGGCGAGCTGGTTTGGCCTGGGTGTGACAAAGAGCTGTCATATCCAGGTGCTTGTTCGGGTACCGGCCTGCCCACGGCAAATCCAGGTGCCAGCGCTCCGGGAGGTTTCTCACATCTTCAGCTGGACAAGGCTATGGGGAGATCTGGTTGTGAGCTGCTTCTTGCTCTTGCCTGCGATAGAAACGTGAAATATCTCGGGGTTAAGCAGAGGGCTGGTGTGGAAAGGGGGGAGAGGAGATGGGGAAGAGGAGAGGTTGCAGCACAGCTATCCCTGCTTTTGAGCAAAACAAGACAGAACCTGGCATGGGCAACTCCAGGAGGGGCGTAAAGGACTTTTACTCCCCGTAAGGCACCGATTGCCCCAAACCACCCCGTTTTGGCCCTTTGGCCGGGGTTCAGCGACTGCTCCCTGGCCAGGGGTGGTGCCTTGGCTCCCCGAGCCCTGGGTTTGCTGTGCCCCCCGGTGTGGCTCTGGTTTCCCAGAGGCAGCATCGTCACCGGGGCGGCTGGAGCAGAGGGTGCGAGAGCTGGTTAATAAACATGCCGGGGAGAGCGCGGTCTGTTCCGAGAAGCCCCCGGGTGTTTGCTCGCTGGAGACGTGGTGGTGTTGCAGGGTAAATGTCAATCCCTAGAGAAGAGGGAACAGTGGGTCCTGCAGCTATCAGGTATCCCGTCACTCAATAGGCAGCAACATCTGGGGGTGTTTTTTTACTCCAGATCGTGTTTAAATATGTCAGTATTTGTCAGAGATGAGCAGACCAGCAGGAACCCCAGCCCAGCACAGGCTCTGCTGCCTGTTAATGATGATGCTCTGCCGCTGTGGCTACATCGGTACAGCACCTTGCACCCGAGTCCTGCCCACCACTTGCTGCCCTGTGGCTCTCTAGCTCCGTTAGTAAAAGCACGGTGCTAAATCAACATTTTTTATGTTGCAGCCAAGCATGGAGATGCCAGGATGATCCAGACTTGGTTTGTCCCCCATCATCTCTGGGCATTAAGTGAGGCAGAAGCGCCGTGGAGAAGGCAGCGCGTGACTGTGAAATGCTGGGCTGGGCAAGCACACGCCACTGGCAGAATTGCAGTTGCATAAGCAGCTCTCAAATATCAGCTTGGCATTTTCCTAGCTCTCCAGTGCCTGCATTTGTGACCCAAAGTAGCATCTCATAAAGCAGCGTGACACTCTGTAATTTCCAATTCCTTTTCTTTTTCGAAAGAGAAAAAAAACCTCAGTTCTCTTCAGGGTGGTCCTGTGTCCACCCGCCTTACCCTGAGCATCACCAGCAGCATCTAAACAAGTGAAACGCCTCTCCTTGCAGGCGCGTGTGCTCCTTGGGTCCTCCTGAGCCCCCAGCCTGGGGTGGGGGGGTGGAGAGGACCTTCCCGGGCCGATGGGTGAGCTGCAACCCCTGAACCCCGACCGAGGAGCCAGCTGCCGGCCCGCAGCCCAGGCTCTGCACTTCGGTGGGCGACGACGTGGTTGACAGAGGTCTTAAGTGACGGTTGACTACCTCTGCTAGCTCACTGCTCGGAGGGTAAATATTCCTTTTCAGATTGAATTGGTGGGGTTTATTTACTGGAGCTAGAACTGCTCGGTTTCACTGAACCCGTTTCTAAAGATGAGGCTGATGAGGTCTAGGACTGCAACCCAGTCTGTCTGTCTGCCCATCCTGCTGCTGGTAGGGATACAAATCAGGACAAAATACGGAGCCTGGACTGTATATACTGAAATATATTTACTTACATTAAACGCATTTTAAATACAAACCTATGTCAGTATAAAATTACAACAAACCCTATCTCTAGGCTCCCTAGAAACTAGTCAAAGCATTTAAAATAAAACACCAACACTACAGAAATATTTATTTGCTTCTGGCGTTTTAAAGGAAGCCAAAGCCCCGGGCTAAGAGTGTAGCCAAGCGGCAGAGCGGAACCGGGGTCGTCGAAACTGCTTTTGACATCAGTGGCTTCCTCTCCAGGTGCAAACAGCAGATTCTCCTTATTTTTGTATGATTTGGTTAAGTCAGTTGAGCGAGTTGTTTACGCAGAGCTGAGAAAGCGGTTGGGAACTGGGAAGGCCGGAAAACTTGCCTTCCTCTTCCATTTCGTAACTGAGCGCGAAGGATGGAGGGATGAGCTCTGCTAGTCCTAAAATTTTGGCAAACGTGGAAACCGGGAACAGCCAGTTCACTTCTCTCGCTGTGAATACTCCTTTCTTTAATTAACTCATTTTATAAGTAAAAGATGTTTAAGTAACATTTATATACATGTGCATGCAACTAATTTAGGCTAGTTTTATTTAACTATTAAAAAAAAAAACCACCTTAAAATGCTGGTTTTGTGCTATTTAGATTGAATACCAGTTTTCCATGAAGGTGGTTAACTACTAAACAAGAACCATCCTGTTCCCTGCTGAAAAGTCCCGTTTGCTCACGATGTTACTCTCCCCTTTCTGCCGGCTGTTTTGGGAAGCGAAGCGGTCCTGTCTTCTTGGGGCCCAAAATGTCGTGAGCCACAGAGGCCCTGGGCTCTCCGAGGGAGGACAGACGTTCAGCCCCATGGTCCTTGTCACCCCCTTGTCCTGCCTCGTCCGCCAAACCCACCGTGCTGTCCTAGCCGTGCTGCTCTGCTTCTCCGGAGCCCAGCCAGCCCTGAGCCCCATCTCCCACACAGCTGCTGCTGCTGTGCCAAAATAGTTTTTATTAACAAAACCAATTAGCACTGCTCTGCTCCTCTCCAGATGTTTTTTAGCTTCTCTTGCAAGACTAGACGTAGCCGGGAGCGGAGCTCCTGGCCCTGGGCCCTGTTCTGCTTTGGATCCTGGCGATGGTCTTTGTCTCTCATCCCAAGTTGACGTCCTGGGACCGTGGAGGTCCCCCCGTGCGTGCTCAGCGAGAGCTTCCAGGAGAGCCCCATGGCTGCTCTCAGCTTTACATCCCTGCCCGCGCTCGGGGCCCTGCCGGGGTGAAGTTTGGTTTCTAGCTAAGCTGGACCCATGAAAAACTGCTCCTTATTCCCAGGGCATCCCACCGACACTGGCACCAGGGCTATGGGACACCCCCGGACCGGCACGGCAGGACGGAGCAGGATGTGAATTTACCCGTTACCTTTATTAGGACTTCAGAAAGCAGTTGGATGTTTGTGTCCCACAATTTACATCTTTCCCATAGGTTCTGAGGTCGGACGTGTCCCTCACCAAGGGGACGTCCTCGTGACACAGGCCAGCTCTTGCCTGGAGAGGAGCAAGCCTTGTGCAGGACCCTCCAGGCGAGAGCTGTCTCCCCAACTTTTCCTGTAGTCTTTGGGGAGAAAGAGGTGCTTTTGGAGGATCCTCCATCTCAGACATCTGCCAGCGTGGCCTGCTGGGCATGTCCATGGCTTGAGAGCTAAACAGTGGCCCAAAATCCGCTTCTTGTGACACCCACATGGTGCTGCTCACCTCGGCTCCTCTGCCAGGGCTGCAGTGGGGTCTCACAGCTCAGGAGGGTCCTTGCAGCACGGAGAGTGGTCATAGCTGGTCCTCTCCTTCCCAGGTGGGGCTGGAGGAGACCCACCACCCACCCTGCTACTTCCATTGCATGAACCATGCAGGAGCTGAGCGCCGTGGTGTGGGGCTGCCCGGGGTTTGGGGCCAGTTTGCTACCGGGGGGAACTGGGGTTGGCTCCTAATTTCTACATAGGCTTTAGGGGTTCATCAGCAGGGCAGTAAGTGACAGCCAGGGCAGGGCAGCCTTGGTGGGCATAGCCCGGATGCGGCAAAGCGAGCACCCAAGGGCAGCAGGACCCAAGCTCCGTGCAGGGCTGCTGGAGGTGGCTTGCAGCCCGGGATCGCAGCCCGGGATCGAGGTGCCCATCAGAGCCGTGGTCCAGGGCAGGAGCCGGGGGCCCATCCCCACGGGTGCCGGCAGGGTGCTGGCAGGGAGCCGTGCCGCTGGTGCCGGCCTGGCGGTGGGCGCAGGACCCCTCACTCTTCGCCTGGGTGCTCCCCAACTGTCCACTTGGCCTTCACGTCCCGGAAAGGAGTGATGTCCTCGTAGGTGGCCATCTGCTCCACCTCCAGGCCCTGCACCAAGAAGGAGAAGGCTGAGACACGGGAGGGGGACCATAGTTCCACCCACAGCACCCTTGGCACCCCCAGACTATTCCCCCACAGATCAGGGCAGCTTCTGAGAGCAGAGAAGAGGGAGATAGATGGCTGGATGTGCTCGGAGCTTGGCTTGGTTTTATAAGCAGCTCTTTATGGCTGATGTGCACCAGGCACTTGGGAGGGAGATGCCTTGATGCACGCTGCAAGGGCTGGTGGTACCTAGCAGCACCCAGCAAGGGCACAACCAGCTATTTCAAGGCTCAGGTTGATATTACAGAGGTACTTCTGTAATTAATGCAGCATTACCTCATAGGTGTGGTCCTCCTCTGGGCTTTCCTTGCCTTCACCCTATGGAGAGGAGAGTCACAGGTTGGGTGTCAGCACCCACCAGGATCCCCCATCCCCTGTCCCCGGCCTTGTCCCCCCAGGCCAGGTCCCACCGCTTCCACAGGCAAATCCACGCAGCCCCACACACCGTTTTAGATGCTTATTTTCCCACTTCAGCTAGCCATGCTCCCATGCAACAGCCCCAAACCCAGTGCCTGCCCATCCCCATCCCTGGCAGCGTCCTGGGACATCCCCACTGCTGGAGACGCTGTCACTTACTTTATCTAGGAAGAGGAGCATGGGGACGCTGATGAAGATGACGAGCAGGATGGACTGGATGATGATGATGGCGTCTTTCAGGGTGTTCCTGCTCTGGATCTGCTGGATGTTACTGTGACCTGGGAGCAGCAGCACAGGGAGAGCCCCAAGTCCCACCTCCGTGCCAGGCTCCCAGGGAATGGGGACACGCTTGGCATGGCCACAGGTTTGTTAGTCAGCAAGAGCAGATGGGGGGACCAGGGTGACATGCCCTCACCCTTGGGAGAGACCAGAGCATTGCAAACTGCCCCTGGGGTTGGCATCAGGGACCAGCTCTGGGATGAGACACCTTGGGCAGGACCCACCACTAGCCAGGACCAGGAAAAATCTGATTTGTTGGGGAAATGCAGTCCTTGGGATGAGTTTCTGCAGGATGGACATGCCAGGGCAAACCAGGGGAGGTTGTCCTGCTGCTTGGTGGCTGGCAACGAGCAAAGAAACCTCTGTGGTGCCATGGAGCATCTATGGTTGTATCTGAAGGGATCCCACCAGCATGGGGAGAGGTGGGTGCATAGGAGCATGATGTGGGGTTCATATGGAGGGGGAAAGGGTGAGAGAAGGAGAAAAAGCATCTCCTGGGGTGCATGGAGGATGGGGAGCTCCTACTCACCCATGACTCTGAGCTCTGTCCCGCACAACTGCGGCTGCTTCTTCTCCGCCGTGAGGTTCTTGCTCTCACACACGTAGATGCCGTTGTCCTCGTAGGTGATCCTGAAGATGGTGAAGTTGATGTAGTTGTCTTTCCTCTTGATGCTGTAGCGGGAGGTGGTGTGATCCAGCTCGTAGAGGTCATCGCTGTCCTCCGCCATTTTGTACCACTGCATGTTATGGGGCTCCTGGGAGTAGCAGATGAAGTGGACGGGCATGTTCTTCTTGGCCGCCACGTAGCGCAGGTGCTGCTGCACCATGGGGCACCCGCCGCCTGCCAGGGGACAAGGGTGGTCATGGCGAGCAAGGAGCCGGCACCCAGGGAGCATCAGAAAAGAAAGCCCCCCCCAGCTTCTCCCAAATCAAGAGCTTTCCATTTTTATGGATTATACTGCTTTTGAGCATTCAGCTTTGCTGTGGTGAATCACTGTCGTCTGGGGGTAGAAATCAGTGACTTTTGGTGAAAACATGCTTTTAATGGAACTCCAGTTTTCTGTGGGAATGGCTTCACGCAAATACTTTTTTTGCTGCTCCCACCCCTCTCTGTGTACATCTCGTTAATCCCAGCTCCAGAATTACAGCCTGTGCTGGCACGTACCACGGAGCCTTTGCTAGGACAGACCCGTCTCCCCAGCTGGCTTCTCTCAGGCTTCCGCATTTTTTGCATTTTGCTGTATTTTGTGTTTTGGTCCCAGAGCTGGTGAGTTTGAGGGCTTGTTTGGGTTGCAGAGTTCGTTCTTAATACCCCGTGGGTGGGAATGGCACAAGCGCTGTGTGCATGAACCCAGTGCCTGGTCCCAAGGCACGGCTTCTTCACACAATGCGCTCTGCAAACGCAGAGGAAAAATGCGTGTGTGTCTTAGGAAAGACAAAATGGATCCGGCTTTGCAGAGGGAGAGCAAGGTGCGGGGCTGGGGAAATGCCAAGGAGGAGGTCACAGCTTGGGAATTGCCTTTGTGATGGGAAGGCCTGTGGGTGATGGGACATCTCCAGCTCTGCAGGGGACCGGCACCTTCGTGGCATAGCCTGTGGGGACAGGAGGGCCTGGGGACACACACGTACGGAAAGAGCCCAGTGGGTCTGAGAGGTTACCTGTGCTGTTCCTGGTGCTGTTGTCTGCTGACATCCCACCTGCAAGACAGGAGAAGAGCCCTGAGATAGTGGCCAAGAGCCCACACAGGACAAGCCCACGTAGGATGTCCCACGTGGGATGGCACGTACTGTGGGGCCTTCGTGCCCACCCGTATGGGATGGAGTGCTCGGGAGCATCAGCCAGAGCCCCACTCAGGGGACATGGGGCAGCGCGGATTTGGGTACAAACCCTTCTATTCCCATCCCATCTCCTGAATCGTCTCTATGTTGCTTTCTGGTTGACATCGCAGTGAAACCTGCCTTCACTATTAATATCCCCCTAAGCTGGCACCTCTCAGAAAGGGTCCAGGCAGACTCACGCCTCTTTATTTACACTGTTCATCTTCTGAATCAACCACAAACACTTTCCCTGCCAGGACTTCCCTGGGCTTGGAGCCCCGTGATGGCCAGGGCGGTTCTCAGACCCTGGGACCATGCAGCCCGCCGGGAGAAGGGCTGGATGGAGCTGTGGGACCTGCGATGCAGTGCAGGAAGCGAGGTGAGGCGGGGACCCTCCAGCACCCATGGGTGCCCCTGCCTGCAGCTCCAGTGCCCCTGTGCCTCGGTTCCTCTTGCTGCAGCTGGGCAGGAAGCACCAGCCCTGTTTACCGCACCGCTTCAGTGCCCAGCTCCGTCCGCTTGATGAATATTCGCCAAACCCCACCGTGGGGAAGCTGGCACGGAGGCGGGGGGCTGCACCACCTCCCAGCATGTTGGGGCAGCTGCAAAACTCCCCCCAGAAGAAGAAGGAAGGTTCAATTCCCTAGCCTGAGCTTTGCCCCGAGCCTTGCCACCCTGCTGCAGACCTCCCTGCCCTGACCAGCAGCCTGGCAGGGACCTCCTGGCTCAGCCGTGGGCTCCCCCCTCACCCCAGTGCCTCCTCCAGGTCCATGCTGCCCTGTTCACCTCGAGCACCTACATCTCCTCAGGCAAACTCTCCCCTCCAGCCCCATTTCATTTTTTTCTGAAATGGGGAGATGCGCCTTGTCCAGGCTGTACGTTGGCTACGTGTCCCTGCCACCTGCAGTCCTGATGGCCAGCCGGGACACAGGGCTTTGCTCTCCATGTTTTGTTGGTGTTTCTAAACAAACACCAGGCTGGTCCCTCACCCTGAAAGCCCTCACACCCCTCAAAGCCAAGATTTCCATTGCAGCCATGGGTGTGCTGAGCTTCCCCTGTCCTCCCTTGAAGCCACCATGAGAGCCAGGATGAAACCCTGTGACCTCAAATCCGTGCTGGACTTGAGTGGCCACCCAACAGAAGCCCTTTAAATGCCTTTTCTCCTAAGGGCACAGGTTTCCCCAGCCGAGGCTGGGAGCTGCTGCAGGTTTTTGTGGGTGTCCCTGAATCAAGCATGAGGGGTTGGAAGAGGACAGGAGCTGTGTCCTGGGTTTAGCTGCTGCTTCTGCATGGGGATGCAAAGGGGAACAGCACAGGGATGTTCACACCGGGCCCACAAATCACCCTCAAAAGCCTTTTTCCTCTCATTTCTCCTCCATTCCTGGGCACAGAACCCCATGGAGCAAAGGGACGTGGCTTGGCCATGGCCTCAGCAATGTGTGGGCCCTGTCCTCAGGCCTCTGAGAGCAATAAATGGTAAAAAAAAACCCCAAACAACCCTTCTTTCTTGCCAACTGCAACCACAACCGGGCAGGCTCTGTACTTGCTCAGCACCGGGCTCCTGCCAAAGCCAGCCGGCTGCCCAAGAAAGTGTCCCACCTCGGCACCCCTCCCTGCACCCCAACGGGAAGCAAAACCCGAAACCCGAGGCAGGCGTCGAGCCCCGAGCCCCCACGGGTCCTCCCTGGTTCCGCTGCACCCTGGGCTGCCTTCCTGCACAAAGCAGGACTGAGAGCGGCGACTGCAAAGTTTAAACCTAATGCATTTAAAGCCAGACCTGGGTGAAGCCCCTCATTGCACTAAGCCAGGGACGCATGCCGCAGCATCGCCTGGGTGCACGTTTCTTCGCTCTGAAATGCAAAGCCGGTGTTTGACGCCTACCTGTGACCAGAGTCATCAGCCAGAGGCTCGCCTGGAGCACCCGGAGCCTCGTGCAAAGAGCAGCCATCTTTCACTGCAAACGGCAGGGAAACATCAAGTTGCCGGCCCTCGCTTCTGCAAAACACAGCAGCCGCTCCGACCGGCTTGGCCTCCGTACCTAAAAATGGCAAAACTGCTGCTATGCGAGACGGCCCCTTTCCTGCTCATGTAAATCCTCCTCAATGGGGACTTTCCCCTTGGGGCCGGTTTTGAATGCGGCGCAGACGCTGGGGCGGCCGGTGCCTGCGCCCTGGGCACCGTCCAGCCTCGTGTCTCCAGGCTGTGCTCATCATGGTGGCATTATTTGATGGAGGTGGCCACGAATGGTGTGAGTCTGTGCCAGAACTAGAGATGAGCCCATCTGCAAAGCACTTGGCGATGCAAAACCTGGGCTGAGCCCAGGGGATGTGCCCAGGGAGCAGGATGCGACTGCCGGCATCGCTGCATCCCTGGGGGGTAGAGGGTTACCCCCACGGTCGTAACCCAGCTCCACCCCAGCGTGGGCAGATCCCCCCCAGTTTAGCCCTGCAGGTTGATGCTGGTCCAGTTGCAAGAGC